TCCCCTTTTACCTGGAAAAGTAAAACCAAAATTAGATCTATGAAATCTCAAATTGTGTCAAACCCCACCCCCCCAAAAAAAAAGGTATAACATTTTAATTTGTACATACCAAAACTTTTGCACTTCCAAAATCACACAGTTTTAGCTGGTGGGTGTGTGGGTTGACCTGTCACAAGAGACCATAATATTAATGAGTTTGTATTCATAAAAGTATGAACGAGTCAATTACTACATAATGATAAATAAACCCAATATCATATGCGAACAAAGATAATATAGGTAGATTAAGTCATTTCATTCCTCGATATAAATAACAAGACACATTTCCACTCGACAATAAGGAACGAGGTGACAATATCATTAAGTAAAAAGGTGATAATACTGCTATTATTTTAAAGACACATTGTAATTATATTTTTGCTTCCTATCAAAAAAAATTATATTTTTGCAATAGCGAAGCTCCTCGGCATAAGTTTCAACAGGGTTGGAGCCAGGATCAAATATCGGGAGGGCAAGGTGCTTAATTTGAAAATAATAATGACTTATTATGTATTTAATCTAAAACTTTGGGGGCAAAAGTCTAATTTTACTTAAATTTAAACTGATAAGGACCTAAAATGCTATTAAACCAAAAATTTTGGAAGGAGCTCTTATATCGCTGATAGCTCTGTCCCTGAGTTTCGATTTTACACTATTAACATATTAGCATGCATGCATTAGAATGCTAGATTATTTTTTCCTTCTCCAAACTCCTGGTGATCCTTTTAGGTCATTAAGGTGAAACACCACTGTTTCTGGACAATGTTTCTCAGCCAACAGAACAATTGTAGCAAGGTGCTTGACATTATACCAATAAGTTTTGAGGCTTTATGTCCCTGTGGCACACACCAATACTGTTATGAATATAAACAAGCGCTCTGCAAATCTGCATAAAGACAAGAATAACACCAGTTCAGTGTAAGGATTGCATATAAACATGGATTTCTTGTTTATAATAGACAGAAATAAGATTAAAAGTGCGGCAATTTAGCCAATATCATACCTGGTAAAAATAGAGTTTCACATATATCAGTGGCATCCTTTGATTCATCTTATTATAATGTTTGATAACACAGTGGAGAGTTTCTGGAACATACTCAAGCACCAGGTTAAGATAGAGCTCATCTTTTTCAGTCGTGGAAAAGAAACAATGCTTCAAAGAGACAACATTAGGGTGGTCCAGTAGGCGCATGGTTTGCAATTCACGGTTCTTGTATCTCTTGTCTTGAAGAACCTTCTTTATAGCAACAGTTTCACCCATCTCTAAACATTTAGCCTGAAATGCCACATAAATAGTTCGGAAAAAACGTCAAAGTCGACTTAGAATATGAAATCTGAACATCTTTCAGATGAACAAATAATGAGGATGAAATAAATCTAAACCTGGAAGACAACACCAAATGACCCATTCCCAACAACACGCTCAGCCATATAGCTTATTGTCTGAAATGATAGACAGATTAAGTTACAGAAATATAAACAAACATCTATAAGACAAAAAAAAAAAAAAATCTTCGACCAATTCAGGAGAAAATTATGAACTTGACTAACCTGCTTTGGCTGGCCACTTTTACCACCAATAGTGGTGACAATTATATGCCCTGTCTCAGTTCCATTCCCATCAACTACGGTTTCTTCCATTTCCTGCAGCATAGTGAAAGATTTCGTAAAACCGATCTGAAAGATGGACAGTCAATTCCCGAAACAAGCAAACAAGAAAATTAATAGCATACCTTGTCATCCCTAATTTTCATATCATTCATTTCATCAGGCAATCTATCAACACCAACTGTATTTCCACTATGTTCTCTTACTCTAGAAGTCAGCGCTATGCTAACTGAAGCCATTGCACTGAACTAAAAGCAAAATGAGAACCTCACAGATCCTCTGTTGAAACCACCTATTTAAACCAGCAAAACACGTCAATAAATTACCTGTAAAACACAGGAAACGGTGTCAATGGTACCCCTCAAAAGAAAACAGCTACAAAAATCTCTAATCCTCAGGAAAATATAATAAACTAATATATACAGAAAAACACATTTCCGGCCACAAGTATACATGAAGTTAGATCAAGCAGAGATCTGTTTCGTCTTAGTGCACTAAGTTCATCATAGTTCATTTCACACATGAATTTAACAGAGTAAAACCATCAACTAAGAAAATAAAGTTTTTTTTTAAAAAAAAGGAGATAATATCGGAAACTCTAGAAGGAAAGAAGGATCTAAGATGACGCAAAGATGAAACGAAATGTAACCAAATCTAACGGAAAATAATAGTGATTTAATTTGAAAACGAAAATCTTGATCCGACAGCCAAACACAAAAAGCATTAGACTCAAAAGGGTAAGGAAGGAAGAAAATAATTACCGATCAGGTCAAGAAATCAGGGGAGAAAGAAGGGAATCATGAAATGAATAATACAGGCATCGGAATCGGGTCTTTAACGGTGAAATGGCGTTTTTGGAGTTTTCTCTTTCTTCCTGGGTCAAACTGATGAGCCCTAACATTTATGGTTATTTTAAGTTTTTTTTAAGGGTAATTAAATTGCTTGCATTTCAACAGTAAGTAGGCTTTTCTTTTGACCGTTCAAACCTGGGGTGGCCCTACTTTCTGCTTTCTTCCACTCCAAACTATTTCCATTTTGTCTTCATAAATCTGTAAATTCAGTGAGTTTATTAATGCGATCCTACTGTTATCTATTCATAAGTGTTGATTAAGAAGTTAAAGCCAAATGAATTCAACTCTTAGGCCTCGTTTGGTTCACGGTATATTTATTTTCTGGGAGGAATGTTATTTTTTCAGATGAATATATCTATGTTTGGATGGGTTATATTACCAAGTATCAGGAAAAAGTTAATACCAACAGTGATTTTTTTACTACATTTCCGGGAATGTTTATCCCTCCTCTCCCTTAGGTATTTACTCATTCTCGTCCCCGTTATCTAAAATAGCCTTCTCCCGCTCCCCTTCGTTCTGCTGAAATCTTCTTCTTCTTCGATTTAACTTAGATATTTGCTTCTGGCGTTCATATTTCAGTTTTTATTTTCAACATATTTCTTGGTTCTGAAAGAACCAAAAAAAAACCGAGTGGTGCACCGCTTATCCTTCATTTCTGAGCTTCTTGGTGTGAGACTTCAAAGCAAATGGACAAAGTCTTTTCCCATCTCTCCATTGATTTCCCCAACGCTCACTTCCTATTCCTCTTCTGTTCCCTTTTTAAGCTTCGAATTTCCTATTTTAGAATTCAGGTTTGAATTTTACTCCTTTCATTTTTCGGTCGGTACTTAAATTTAATATTTAGTTGAATTTTCAGTTTTGTTTTTCGTTTGTGGAAAATTTAGGCGGTGGATTTGATTTGATGAGCAGTCGACAGTGATGAGTGGGTGAGTATGTGAGTGGATTTGAGGAGGAATTGAACAAGTGGAAGTAGGTGCAAAAATGTCAGAGGAGGATTTGGTGGATATAAAATTCAGGATTTATGATGGGTTGGATATCGCCGGGTGGGATCGCCGGTGCGGTTCAACCCCCACCCTCGTTATGTCGCGCCACTAACATCGACGCCATCCTTCAGGCTGCCAATGAGATTCAAGCGGAGGACCCCACGGTTGCCAGGATACGTATGTTTATCCTTATTTTGATTCTCTCTTTCTTGGTTTTACTGCATTATTGTGGTCACTTAGTCATTTGATCTGATGGCAATTTAAGTTATGAATTGAAGGACGAAAGGCTTGAAAGGGACTTTTGAGAGTAAGGCGGTGTTTGGTTACGAGGATTTTCGTAGATGGTTGAGTTTATTTGCTCGTAGTATTGATTTGGTAGAGATAGAACAACTGGGGGTTAAATTCTTCTTTCCTTCCGTTTATGCTTTGAAAGAGAGTTTTGAATTTAGACAAACTGGTTCGAGTTTCTTTAGTTTTGTTCTTGCTTTGTACGTTTGGTTTACTACCATGTCTAGCTGAACTGGCATTTTGACAACTTATTTGATGGATTTGTTGTGGGATAAGAACAATTAACTTCAAATGATTGAATATTTCAAATTTAGAGAAGCATTAGCTGTAGTAATATAGAACAGAAAAAAGTAGAACCTGCTTGTGATGCAAACCATTTTATATCATAGAAATGGTTGTTTCGGGGTAATATAATTTTAATTGGGTGATGATTGGGTCTCTTTGAGATTGTACATAGATGTGGCTATGTGATATTTCTTCATGTATTAAGTTTAAGCTTTTGTAAGTTCCAATCATTGATAACTTACATTAAATCCAATCAGATATTTATTTTGAGTTCTTAATGCAGATTTCTAATTATTAAATTGAAAGCTTCAGATCGTATTGATTTTAATATTAAACAAGATTTACAGACAGATGTAACATGAGGATGTTTTAGAGTTTTTTATTTACATTTATCCAATCGCCTTTTACTTTGACAAAAAAAATTGGGATGGTCAAGCTATTTCTGATTCATTGTAAATTAGAATTTCACTGCAATAGCATTGTTGTTCAGTTATAGGCTCATACCCATTTGGGTGTATTATGGTTTGTTTGTGAATATGTTTCTACATAAATAAATATGTTGGCTAGGGATATTTGTGGTTTGCATTAAGAGAGAGACATTGATAGTTGATTGATCACAGGTGAACAATGTGAAGATCATCCCAGAGTTTCCCAGAACTGCATCTAACAAATTGCTTAGGAGAGTCTTGAGGGACCAAATGCAGAATGAACTGTCTGTCAAAAGCAGGATGTGAAGACTGGCAACTTCAGCAATGCTTCAAGAATCATACATATTATCCCTTTGTGCTTCCCTGCGTTGGAAACGATGCTTATACCCTATTCCTTGTGGCGACCTTACTCTTCCTCTCGAAGGTGCTCACTTTACTCCCCTTTCATATTGTTTGTTATAGTAAGCTTGGACTAATATATTAGAACTTGAGTACGTCCTTTCTTGATCTTTTAGCATACGAATCGTCTTTTAGTCATCTCACTCTTCTCCAACAGCGGTCTCTGGTTGTTATGGTATTGCTTCAATTATAGTTAGAATGATTTGATTATATTTTCCTGTTGCAAGTATGTTCTGCTGCCATGACCTTCTGAGATGGTTAACATTGAATACTCATCATCGATTTAAGGCCGTTTTACTACTTAAAACTGAACTAGAAGGATAACAACCATTGAATTTACTTGTAAACTGTTTGTTATTTTTTATTTGATCGTTAGTAGAAAGCAACTGTGTTAACTAAATATTAGTCAGTTCGATACAGGGAACCTCATTAATAAAAATTTCTGAATTTATATAGTTAAGTGCCTGGATTGGTGTCCTATGCTAATGAATTCTTTTCTTTCAATCACCTTCTTGAAGCAATGAATGACTACTTTTAGATCGAGTGCTGGGTCATTTCTGATTGTCCTGACTGAGGGATCACAATGCCATTTGAAATTCAATTGTGAACTAACTGTGTCCTTTTGACATTGTTAAAATTTGCCTTCCAAATAATTTTCCCCCCTTCATTTTCAAGCTATACAAAACTTGAATGTAGATTGAATGATTTAATCTTTGAATGGTCATTCCAAACAGGGGCGAATGGTTGAATTTGCCAAATACTTGGCAAATTTTGCTGCTGCAAGTGGAAAGAAGCATGTTGTTCTGCTTTCTAGCTTGGATTTTGGAAAGTGGCAAAAAATTGACATGTCAAGGTACTTCATCCTGAATTTTTATGATGTTAGTTCATGTTACCATATGTTGGGGGCAGTAAGTCATTCCTTGGAAATGTACTTATGTTATGGGATATAACCTTGGCAACTGGCAATGTGGTTTCAGTGGTCTGCAGATACAATTCTTATTTTACAACTGCAAATGATGGAGATTGTATGTCGATCTTTTTTTATTTTGACTTTAGAATATGGTCCCAACTTTTTTGTCTAGCTTCACTAGGTATATGTGAAGCTTTTGACTTGGAGAATTTTTTGTGTATATAATATAGCCAACATATATGATTAAGTTTAGAATGTCATAGCTATTATCTTTTGTAAGTCTGAACATTGTTGTTGTTTTTTATGGTTAATTTTTATACTTATTTTTGTTCTGTAAGCTAAACAAAGAACGTAAGGTTATCTATTATCCTTCAGTTTGCACTTTTACTTAATTATGTTATGAACACCTATTTACTTCTCAATTTTCATTCTTTATACCAGGTTGATCCTTGTTCCATGTAAGCATGGTTTAAATTGTTTTACTATATTGGGATGGCAAAGCATTCCTTGGAATGGGATGAACAAGAAATAGAAGCATTATATGTGCTTTTAAAAAAGGGATTAATTGTTACCTCGACAATGTTAAAAATAAAATTGGGAATGGTTGCTAATGCTCTGCTCCAAACATGGACAAAAAATTCAACAGTCAGATTTTCGAATCGAACATCAATCTTCGGGAATTCCAAATCCACTCTGCAACACCACAAACTAGAGCAAATTTTAAACAACAATGAAGACCACTCTAGGGGAGAATAATAATAACAACCTCAATCAAGAACTTCAAAATAAAATGATGAAATTATTGAATGAATAAGTATAAATTTTAGCTTTTGTTCTGATTTTAAAAAATGTTTAAATTATAAAATTTAGCTTTTGTAATCTTTAGGAGTAAAATGATTCATCTATTAAAATTTTCATATGCTTATTTAGTTAAATCATGATGTAAAATTTTAATATATTTTTAGATAATTAATGTAAAAAATAATATTATTTATAATTAAAATAATACATGATATATTTACTCTTTTATTCTACCATTTATCTTTTAAATTTTATAAAAAAAGTATATATAAATTTTATTAAAAAGTATATAAATTTAAAATAATAAAGTAATATATTTTTATGCTTTTTTATATGAATATTTTAATTTAAATATTTAGAATTCCACTTGTTAACACATATAGCACAAGGACAATTTGGTAAAATATATATTACTGCATATTCCTTCAACCAAACACTGTAATCATACATTCCTGCCAAACAAACCAAACACAGTAATGTAACATTCCCAGTAATCCTATTACCTGGTAATCTTACATTCTCACTGGTAATCTTACATTCCGTGAACCAAACGCACCCTTACGGTATTATATTATTAATAGTCAAAATAATGATTTTCTTTTAGGGTTTGTTTGACTGTAGAATTTTTTTTCCTAAAATATTTTCTTTGTTTGATAACTTGTAAATATTTTTCAAAAAATGTTTTTCAGTGTTCGATAATTATAATTGGTTTTTATAATGTAATTATTTTTCCTAGTTTTTTGTATTTTTTTGTAAAATATTTTACCATTTGAATTTCGATAAAACATTTTTAACTTTTATAACCACTCAAAAAATATTATTTTATTTATTTAACATTAATATAATATTTTAATATCATTTTTAAAATATTAATTATTAAAATAATATTATATTAATATGTACTCAATTATTAAAATATTTTTTCGTGGGCAGTTTTTTTAATTGTATTAGTTTAATTTAATATATAAAATTATTAATAATTAAATATGTAATATTACTATATATAAAAAATAAATGCAAGAGGGTAGTCAGGTACTTGGATACCCGAAAAATTTTAATTTTGTGACTCAAAACTTGATTTTTTAAAAAATACTCAGATTTTTTTATTGGGTTGACGGGTCGAGTTAACTGAGTCGGGTATTTTTGAACATCCCTAGTTGTGATTAAAATTTTATTAGATTTGATGTTGGCAGCAATGAGGTACAAGTAAAATTTTATCAATTTTGTTGATATATTTTGATATTTTGATTTACCAAAACTAATTAATATTTTAAAGAAATTTTAATATTATATTTGATTCGTTCATTCGAATATAGAAATTCTTTTTAAATTAAAAAATATAGTTTTATTCCTTAATTAGTTTATTAAAAATTTGAGTTATATACCGAAAATAATTTTAAAACAATTTTTCTAAGGGTTTCAGACTTTAATCGAGTCAAAATCTATTTTAGACCTAGTAGTAACAATACTCCAAAAAAATATCGATATAGTATCAATACAAATAGCTTAAAAATATAAAACAATATCGGTACTACTTATAACAGTACCGATACTCCTTGAGCTTTGCAAATTTATATCTGTAGTGGCTATTCTCGAATGCGAGGCCAGCTGCATGGTGAGTCAGCTACGTAAGTGACGTCAAACCTCATGGTTATAGAATATTGTTAGTTTGTTATAGACCTTTCTAGAATGACGTACTACTATTATAAAGGCAATTGACATGTAACCAAAAAAAGATATGAATGAGAATATTTTTCCTTGATCATATTATTGTTTACTGATCATGGTATTAGTCTCTTGCGATTGGTGGTCAGTTGTTGTTTAGTCTCCGTTTCTTTTTCCTTTTCCATTACTCGTGGAGGGGTCACCTCTACAGATTATAATGCCGGTGGGTCGTCCGATTACCTTGCTGGTAAAGTTTTCACCAACAAAAAGATCAGCAATGCCCTCGACGAGTTCATCTTCTTGTTATGGAAACATCAAATCTTGTTGGTCGTAAGGAGTCATCGACTCGAAAGGCTTCTCACTAGGGTTCTCCAACCACCGGCTGCTACTATTCTTGGAGCTTATGGGTTAATGGTTGAAAATGAAGACTATGAGGTTTATATGTCCCAAGATAACGCGTTGGCGTCATGGATTCTTTCCAACATCAGTCCCTTCTTGCTCCCTCAACTCATCGGCGTTGAGACCGCTGCTGAAGTCTAGTCGACTGTGATTAGGTTCTTTGCGAGCAAGTCAACGACTATGCTCATGAACCTTCACTACAAGCTCAAAACAATCACAAAGGGGGAGCTTGGAATGAGGGCATACATTTCTTAAGTCAAAGAGATTTGTGATGGCCGAGCTACGTGTGGGAGTTCTACCTCTGAGTTCGAACATATCGCTACCATCCATAACGGTCTACTACTAGAGTATCATTCTTTCATTGCCATTATTATTGTCAGTCGTGAGTCGTTTACCTTAGACGACATCATTTCTGTCCTTGTGGGTGCTGACTTAACATAAAAGTTTTGAGCATCATGATACTATTCACATAAGTTCTAATCTTGCTCGTATGTTCATATCATCGTCAGAGGCTGCTCTCAAAGATAATGCTTATGGAGCTCACTCTAGACGATCACAAAACCTTTCATGGAGTCTCTACTCAATGAAACAATGAACACACGAGTCCTCATTCTCCTTCAGCTAATCTTTATGGCTATTATGATTCTTATACTTGTGCGTGTGTAACACCCCATACCTGGTATAGAAGGCATACTTGGATACCTGAGCATACATTACGTTCTGATCATGTTGGACAAACAGAATCATAAAACATGCGCACTATACGAAAGCATAAAAATTAAAATCCAATCATCATGCAACACATGGCAATAGATAACAAACAATAACTTAAAATCACACAACAATTGGAACAATACATGATAATCGCAATAGACAGTCAGGGGTAACGATCATTTTAGCACATCCAAGAAATCCATAGTCAAATTATCAAATTAAGTTTACCAATATCCATTAATAATCCTTAATTAATGACATGCAAGTTTCCATATCAATCAGACATCAAACAGGACCTAATTGAACATACATATCTAGGGACAAAAACATAAACAATTCAAAAGTTCATATGATCATCGAACATGCAATTGAATTTTCCATTATGTAATTAAATAGATTTAAGGGTGACAAAAAAGTCTCATCAAATTTCGAGTTACGGTCTATTCTTAATTAACATTTCATATTTTGGACCATTTTGAATTCATAAAGCTTTTTGGGGTCAAACTAAGGCTAATGAACACTTCAAACCTTTAATGAATGCAATTCCACCTTTTTCTATCTAGTTTTACAACGAAGTGATCTATCATTTTGAGTCATTTCATGCATCCTATGAGCCTAAAATATTTGATACACTTAATGTCACTTCTCTAAACACACCAACCACTTTCTTAAGGCACAAATCAACATTTCTCATATTTCATGATCAATATTACCTGCAACATGCATTCAATTGTTCCAAATCAATTCATATAACACTTTTCAACACAAAAAAATGATCCACAAGTCCAAAGCAACTTCAATACAACATTTCAAAATCCAAAAGTCTAAATCCCAAATAGATCCCACATTGTCATTTCAAGAAAACAATGCATACGTTTTATTTCTTATTAATGCCTTGCTCGATCACCCAAGTACTTGCTCCTCACCTCCGACATAGCAACTAATCCTCTAAAAGAGTAGTGAACAACGAGTGCGAGCTAAAAGGTCTAGTGAATATCTAACATTCTAAGTAATGCACAATCCAAAGCTAAATGAAAGCCCTATATGCATTCACCCCTCACTTGTTTTTACCTCATCATCAATATCATCATGTCATGCTATTATGCACCATAATTACACATAAATTCCAGATTACACATATGTTTTTTACCATTATTTAATCAGCATCAAACACAAACACTCATGCACAATTACCTCTTCACAAAGTCACACACAATGCACACTTTATTCCAATTAATGATCAATGGCCTTTTGCTCAAAACAAAACTCACTCATTGGATAAACAGACTCCATACAACTCCTATTTTATTTGTGGACTCACTTAGGTCCAAAACCCCCAAATTTCGGAGCAAAGCTCAACGCACCAACCTTACCCCGTATTCTTCTCGGAGCATAGCTCAATGCACCAACCTCCCGTATAACCCGATATCACACAATATCAAAATACCTAGAGTGCTCTCTCCTAGGTATGCCTTTGATATCCAAAGGTCCTATTAAAAATAA